GATCCTCGCTGTCAGCAGTACCAGCTACCACCCTTCTCTACCCAGGAGCTGCCAGCAGAAAAAGACTTCACTGACTTTCATCTAAGTGGATTCAAACAGCTAACTAACTATTCAGTTACATTTTCAGCAGCAAGCCTCCCCAGTCTTTTCCTATAGAGTGAGGAAAAGCCCAAAACTGTGTTAATTTCTCTTTATCCACCTTTGTATAACAACAATTACATCCCAGGAGCTGTCAGCAGAGAAAGATCTTCTTCCCCCTACTGACAGAGACCGAACCTGCACTGGATGCTGGAGACGTTGCCATGACAACACGCTGTACTGACTCCGCCCTTGGCTGAAGACAAGCTGAACTGAGCAGTGACATTTGTAACTGGTAGCCAGGAGTTTCTCCAACAGCAGATGAACTTTCTTGCCAGAAGTTATGCTTCACAATAAAAGAACATTGGACTTGATAGCTGTTAAACATGGGACTATATGATATTGGGAAAGATACTGTTTCTTTGTATATGAATCAGATGTTGTTGAAACCAATGTTAACACCCTCAAAACTTTGTAATCTATTGGCTTGTTTTGCATGGCCCCTATCCCTTATTGCTCTCTGATAGTACTGTGTATTATTGCTGTTTCACTGTTTTTCAAGGTCTCCTTGCTGACTGTTACTGCCATTTGCTAAAATCACCACAGGAAACAGGTCATGGTCAGTTATCAAACTTTGGATTTTCCCGAGATGAAATGAGTTGGTTCTTAGGGCTGGCGATGACACTTTTTTCATATTTTAATCAAAGAGGGGGCGATGTTGGGGTTCTCTATTATGCAAAGTAGAAGTCTCTTCACTTCCGGATAGCTCACGAGCTCGGAAACCATGTGCTGCAGATTCCTTTTCATAGCAGAGTGCCTTCCTGGCATCCTCCCTGACTCTTCTTTTAAAGTGCTAGGCACAAATACATGCCCTCCTGCACAGGAGCTACCAGGATTTCAATGAGGCACTGTCTGATAGCCTGATAGAAGCCCACCGCCCTATGTAAATGAGGCATCCTAAAAGTACCTATCAGCTAAGACTTCTTCTGCTGTCTCTACACTATAAATAGTCCTAGTTTTACCCCAATAAAGTTGGAGCTGGAGCTGGAGCTGAATCACTGAGATCTGAGCTGAGTCACTTGTCTTGAGCTGTAACACTAAATCCTGTGATCCAGTCTCCCCGGGGGACGCTATTCCTCCGTCACTGACTCGCGGACACCCTGGCTTTTGCCATCCCTCGTACGCTTCCCGTGTGGTCCAAGTGGCCAGTGGACCTCACATCCTGAGGAAGGTATATGGGTGAAATAGGGACAGGATCGACTGAGTAGACCTCAGTAGCGGAGGAGCTTTCACTGCCCAGGAGTGCGCGCTGGGACCCTGAGAGCCCAGCGCGTGCTCGCCTATATGGCTCCATCACAGTTGATCTCCCAGGATCCATCACAGTTGATCTCCCAGCTCCTACAGATGCAGCCTCAGCAAAGGCTGCTTCAGTTTGTAGATACTTTGCTATCGCAAGTGAAGTCTAGATGACCCTGCATCCATTCCACCTAGGCCAGCAGGGGAACACTTTCCCTGGTTGCCTAACAAAGGGACTGCTGTGACATGTTAAAGAGGCATGACTATGATCACGGAAACACAAAATTTCTTTTGCTTATGAGATGTGCTATGATTGATCCAGATCCCCCGTCTCTGGCTGTATAAGCAGGTTGGCCAGGCTTAATGAGTCATCTGGGAGATACTGTCCTGTGCTGCCTTCCCTGGTATTGTAACATTAAGCCAAATGAAAAACTTCTCTTAAGTAGTCTTTTCTTGCCTGCTTTTACTAGTTTGGGTTGAGCTGGAAACACAAAAGAAAAAAAAAACGTAGAGGAAAGCATCAGCAGTGGCAGAGGCAGAGGCAGCAGAGTGGCTGTGGCTATAACCAGTGCGCTGAGTCAGCAGGCCAGGCTGCAAAAGCGGCAAGGCAGCCAGGTAAGTGCTTGACAGCTGAAGAAGCAGCAGCTGAGCAGTTGGAGAGAGTGGCCAGGGCAGGACCCTGAGGGATAATGAGAAGTAGAGAGGACAGACAGCCAATGCTTAAGAGGAACAGAAGGCTATCAAGAACCAAAGAAAGGGCCCTGGCCTCTGAAGGAATTCCAGAGAGCTGGCACTTCTGTACACACATGCGCGCGTGCACACACACACACACACACACACCATATAGATTTGATTCTATTAGAATAACTGAGCAGATCTCTCTTTGAACTGGACCCAGGAGCCGTGTCTGGCCCCACACAGAGCTGTGGGGAAAGACTTCCTGAATCTTGAACTCATAAGGAAAGGTTCATTTGCAGATGTATTTAGTCAGATTGTATGAAGAAGTCATTCTAGTGGAAATACTTCGAAAACAACGGAGTTTTTGAAATATTAAAGTCAACAATTTTTATTTTTTTTTACTGTATGCATGAGAGAGAGGTGTGAAGATGGACATGGTTGATATTAAACCCTCAGGCCAGTGCTAGGCCAAGGGAAGTCCATGGGTCACTTGAGTGTCCATCTCCAATGCAGTGGCAGCCCACTCTTGTATTTTAACCTTTGTGGAATGTACAGGCATCCAGGAGTCCTGTGGAGAAAAGAGACATAGGGACATTCAGAAAATTCTTATATTTATGGACTGTTGAGTGAATGGACAGTTAATCATAACATAAATGGTACTGAGACTGGTTGCTCTGCTGTTCTGATGTGTGCTGTGGCCCTTTCTTCCAGTGTCCATCTCCACTTTTTCCACACAGCTCCCGTGTTTCCCACTGGGAGGGTCACACACCAAGGCTATAAAAAACTTTAACATGGCTTTCCTGCCCTATGGCATCCCCCTACTTTGTTTTTGAGGGTGGGTTTCTACACCAGAATTCATGTACCTGAAAGTCGCCCAGGAAGACTTCCCTGAGCTTTATAGGCAGGTGAGGAACTGGCGTAGCAAAAAGGACCTAGCAACTTCAAGCTGGGGCTAGGGATGGGGTGGAAGACAGCAAAGCAGACTGTCTCCTTGTGCAGGACATAGGTCAAATAAGTATTAGCTTGGTATTTGCAACAATGGGCCTAGACAAGCACATTACTTATGTGTGGCAACTTTTTAAACATTGTTATGTGCATGCATGTTCAAGTGTGCATATGTTACAGCATGCATGTGGATGGAGGTCACAGGACAGTTTTCAGGAGTCAGTTCTCTCCTTTCAAATTGGCTCCAGGGATCAAACTCAGGTCAGGTGTATGTGGCAAGTGCTTTTATCCACTGAGCTATCTTGCATGTGTGGCAACTTTGAAAGTGCAGTCTCCCTGAGCCAGCACAGAGTCTCTCAGTATCTCCAAGACAAGCATCTTAAATTAGGAGCAAGAATCACCTGCAGACTACAGCTGAAGGATAACCACCCACACCACCTGCAGACGACTACAGCTGAAGGATAACCACCCACACCACCTGCAGACTACAGCTGAAGGATAACCACCCACACCACCTGCAGACTACAGCTGAAGGATAACCACCCCACACCACATGCTACTCTCTCACATCTTCCAAATGCTTTCAAATGATTCTGTGATTCCCAAAATAGGCTGCAAGAGTGTATTTCATTCTATTCTAATTCTTGAAATCTGGCATTGCAGATGAGGAAATCAGCTGGCAATTTTATTGTTGGCCAGAACCCAACATTGTTGAGCTCTCTATAACAGAGCTATCTGAAGAATATGCTCTTTGTGACCAATACTGAGCACTAAAATTGTAGCTGGATAAGACTGAGGAAATTATTTCTTAACTTAATCCAGTTGAAATTTTTTTTCATGTTTAACAATCTTTAATTCAAATGCAAAAGTCCAATACAAGCCATTGGTAGGGTTTGAGATTTGTTCTTTTAAAAACAAAGCAACAGTGGTAATGCAACAAAATAATCTTACTACTTTTCAAGCTTTCAAAGTAGGGCCGAAGATCCATTTATCCAAACCCACTTTCTCTCACTACCAATAGTTTACACTCATTCCATAATCTTAATACATGTTCCTGAATGAAGATGTACAGTTCAGCTTTGCTTACATAACCATTTAAAAAATACTTAGCACCAGCTTGCTTCCTATAATGCCAAACACATCCTAACTACTTCACCAGGTTTGTACTTCTTTTTGAAGAAAGCAACACTTAGCCTCTAGATGTATTTCCCAGAAAGGGCATATGCCTTTCAAAGGCCTGGATACTCTCGTACTTTCAACGTGGAAGCTAGCCTGATGTGCATAAGCATGAATGGCAAAGTTGAAGATCAGTATTTCAACTATTTTACTATTTATTCAAAGCACAGTAAAAAAAAATTGGTATACTTCAGAAATTCAGTGGCACAAGGTGCACTGCCACTAACTTGAGGAACATTATACAGTTAAAGAAAAGTAAATAAAAAGAAAAAAAAATTAGCCTGTTTTGAACATTGCATTACATAATTTTACCTGCTGAAACAGACCATTTACAAATATCAGGTCAATAAACTGCTAACATCCATAAAAAGGTAGCTTTCTTACTAAAATGCAAGAATTTTAAAATGGTATATAAACAAGAAAAGACAAAAACAATAATCCAGTTAAATTTATATTAAATAGACACATCTTACTAGTGGTTATCATATTGGACAAGGAAATAAATAATGTTTTTAAAAACCTGGTCCCTTTTTCAGTTTCTTAGACATTAGATGGGATTCTGCCTGTTCACTACCTTAGTGCCCTAGGCCTGTGCCCCCCTACCTGTGTGTGCATATAGGCTAACTTGCACATGCTGGGCTTTATCTTGGCCATGTAGCCATTTCCTGAGGGCTACCCTTGACTTTTCTCTTATAACCATCTCCCAGAACCCATCACTCTATTTTGTTTGCCATCTCTCCATGCTGTTCACATTCTACTCACGTGAGGTTGAGCATTTTCTTGTGTTTCCAACAGCCTGGACATAATTCATTCCTAAGTATTTTTCATATGTGATATCATCTGGAAGTTTAACCAAACATTTGGTGTCATCTCTGAACAGAAGGTCCTTGGTGGTAGACCGGAACAAACAGAATTGGCTAGTGCAGTCAGATGCTTGAGTTCCGAATTGAGTCTGTCAAAAGGACAGAAAGTAAATGAGGATCTATGCCCCTCAGTAGGAGGCTGAAAGCTCCAAGCCAGCCCTGCAAGTGAAACGAAGCTACAGAGCATGCCTCAGGAACTTTCCACCTCCCTCATCTGCTGTTTACCCACTTGAAGCCCCAACCACATGCTTCCAAGATGCCCAAATGTCCTCTGTAGGATCCCTTGTCCTGTTTCCCGCCTAGAAATCCCTCGCTCTCACCTACTTCCACCATCCCCTATTCTGTCCCATTTCATCACCTTAGAGGCTGTTTATAGGAAGCAAGAGGACAATAACATGTCCCTTCCAGTGTTACTGCCCCAAGAGACAAAATAAGAATTCAGCCGGGTGTGGCACATGCCTTTAATCCCAGCACTCAGGAGGCAGACAGATCTCTGAGACTGATTGTCAGCCTCTTCTACATAGTGAGTTCCAGGCCAGCTGGGACTGCAGGGAAAAAAAAAAAAAAAAAAACAAAAAAAAATATATATGAATTCAATATTGAAACCAGTATGAAACTTTGTTAGCTAATATAAGATTGTTTTAACTGGTGGGGAACCAATGGGTAGGAAACCTGAGGGGAAGGTGATATTTGTGTATAGGGGGGCCTCTGGGATTAAAATTCTCCCTGCCCCTTCAAAGGCTGGCCCTGACAGAGTTGCTCTCCCTAGAGAGCATGCTCTCTGAAAACAGGAGTCCTGTGTTTTCCAGACTGTTAAGAGCACTGCTCAATCAGCTGAAGAGTGAGAAACAGAAATCACTCTCATTCCCCAAGACTAGTATGGAGGATGCTGGGAAACCTCATTCAATCTTCTTCATTTTCAGAAAGGACAGACTTGAGGACAAGGGAATCCCTGGGCCCACCAAGGTCAAGGGGAGCAAGAAGGCAGATTCTGGGTCCTGAGGGCTCATGAGTCAGTGGCAACTTGTCTTTAGGGACCAGGAGTTATATAGAAGCAGAGCCAGACCTGAGGGATCCAGCCCCATAATGCATAGCCAGCACTCTGTAAACACTTCCCACACACCCACATCTCGGACGCCTTTTGGGTTCTCATATTGACTGAGAAACAGGTGTATATTACTATTTCCATTTTATACGTGAGGAAACTAAGACATGGAAGGATTAAGCCAGATACCTAAAATGACACAGATAGGAAGGCACCCAGCTGAGATTTGAACTCAGATATTCTGGCCCACAGTTCCTGGACTCCTAATTCTAGTTTTCAGAAAGAAACTGCTAGAGTACAAGTTTCACTTAATTCTGAATGTTTCCAAATAACCTGGACCCACTAGGAATCAATGGTGGAAGCCCCTGGCTGATCCATACCTGCTGGTTAAGCAACACCTTGCGAACACACGCTGACTTCTCTTTCCGTGAAACCACAGCATGATTTGGAGCTCGGGCCAGGTAGCAGCTCTTATACTCAGTCACAGCCTTCCTGGTACCATCAGGGCACAGCAGCTGAAAGTCTCCCTCCTTCAGATTGTTAGCCCATGCATCATTGTTGTTTCCTGGGTAGGGAGGAAAGTGGATCAATTCCCAAGCACTGAGGTGGAGAGAGAGGGAAAAGGTGGGAGGGAAGAGAGAAAAGAAGGGAGGGAAATTAAATCAACTGGGTCTAGTCCTGCCGGGCAGGGAGTTATTATAGGAACAAGGTTCTCTATGCAGAAACAGAAGATGTGAGAAGAGGGCAGAACTGAGAGAAAGACCGAGTGTTGGATTTATAATACCCACGGAGTTTGCAATGTCAGTATTCTCTGCATAAACGTGACAGCTTGCAAATACAGATACCGGACTAGATGAGAGGACAGGCTTCCTATCTAAACATGTTTAGGAGGTAAGGATTTTGGAGTCTTTACAAAGAGTAGGTGAGTGAAAGCCTAGAAATGAGAGACCTACTCCGATAAGCACAAAAGAGAAATCAGAGGTGACAAGGAATCAATATGAGGACAGCATTCCGGTGGCAGGAAAGGAAACTTTTAAAGGAAGATAGTGACTCATACAAGGGAAGAAAAAAGCCAGTCAGTCCCGTATTCCTTCAAATAAATTCCTAGCAGCTGATGTGTGCTGTGTGCTCTCCTAGGGACTGGGAATATAAAGAGGAGGGAAAAGAGCCCGGTGACTGTCTGTGGTCAAAGTGCACACAGATACGGTTGTGTAATTGAAATAACAATATGGACAGAGGATTCTGTGGCAGAATGGCAGGTTCCAGCTGGGAAGGCTTCTCAGAGAAGCTGGTGCTGAGCCAGCTGAACTAGTTCATCCTACATCAGTTGTCCAGGAAAGCTGAGTAACAGTTAGGGGATATGAGAGATGGCAGAGAAGTAATTAACAGCCTGGACTGCAGTGGTTCGCTAGCCCTGAGTGACACTGAGGGCACAGCGTGTGCATCTTTATCAATATTCACGGTAATTTTCTCAGCCTGGCGGTTCCTTCTACATTCATTAATTAGCATTCTGTCCTCAGGAGAAACTTTCCCTTCATTTATCTAACCAGGATCGCCTCGTGGACACTTATTTATTCTGTGGGTCGTTATCCTTTATTGCTACTGTTTGAAATTCCCAGACTTGGCATTGGGAGGTCCTTCACATTGGTTCCTGTGTGTTTCGACGTGTCTCATCCCTCTCTGAACATATCAGTGAGAGTGGGCCACCAGGTATTTGTCCCAACCTTGGAATTACCTTTTCCCAGGAATTATGGGTTCCTTTTCTGCAGATTGGTTGCCTCTCTCTTCACCAAACCCACAAATTGAGGGTTAAAGCTTTGGAGCCTGACAGTGCCTATGCTACTTCTGAGAAGACATCCCTGAATCCCACCCGGGGACCCAGATGCTATAGGGACAGAGGAGCAAGCACACGTACCACCAGTGTTTTGTAGGACAGTCTGGTGTTTCACAAAGGCCACGTCTCCTTTCTCAACAAGACACCTAAAGCGTTCCAAATGTTGGGGAGGAAAATACAGGAGGTCAGGTTGACACGTGTCATTCAGAGGGTACCTCATAGCTCCAGGCTGGCCACCAGATGTCAGCAAGTGCTACAGCCATTCTGTCACTAAGCGGCCCACGGAATAAAGAAAACAAAAGGCTCCAAGCTGGTGTGCAGTTCCACAATCTCAGGTCCACTTGTGACATCATAATTTTTTTCTTTGGGTTTGTGTGTGTGATGTACATGTTCATGTGGTTGTGGGCACAGGTGTATGCCTCTGTGCCTGACGTTTTATGTGTGTTGTAAGGATGCAAACTCAAGTCCTCATGTTTGTATGACAGGCACTGTACCGACAGCCATCTCCTCCCCCTTACATCATAATGCTTGGTTCAGCTTCTCCAAGAGTTTCTGTCCTTCTCCAGTGTGGCCACGAGGAGCAGAGAATTAGTTTCTCCGTGAGGTGATATCTCCTCCATCATATGAAATGTGAATGAAAAATTCCATCCCTTTTTCTTGAAAGATGCAAATGTCTGTGCATCATTTTATTTTTTTGAGACAAGGTCTCCCTGTAGCCCCAGCTGGCCTGGAACTCTCTATGTAGACCAGGCTGGCCTTGATCTCACAAAGTTCCATCTGCCTCTGCCTCCCAAGTGTTGGAATTAAAGGTGTGCACCACCACACCCAGTTTCTATGCAACATTTTTGAGAGACTGAAACCCCATCACAAATTTCAATTTGTGGTATCTTAAAAAAAATGCTTTTTGTTTCATTAATTATTATATTTTAATTATTTGTGTATGGGTATGTCTATGCATGGATTTCTGTGTGGGTTTGTGCATGTGAGTGCAGTGCCAGTGTTACAGGCAGCTATAAGCCACTGAATGCAGATGCTGGGAATCGAACTCAGGTCCTCTAGAAGAACACTATGCTCTCTTAACTGCTTAGCCATCTCCCCAGCCCCTCAATCTGTGGTTATCTTTAATTCATTTTAAAAATAATTTTAAGATTCAGGGAGCATGGAGAGCATTTATGTTTTGTTTGGAGTTACTTGGTTTTCTTCTCTTTGTCTTATTCCTTTATCCCTCTTTCTGTTTTCTTTTGAGAAAGTGTAGCAGAGCCTGGTATATAGGCTCTTCTTGACTCTGCTAAGGCTCTGAGCCACTAGGAGCCTCAGCTAGAACTTGAATCTGGTTCTGCTGTTTTCACTGCTCTCAGTTAGTGCTTCAGTATCTACTCCTGATACAGGCAAATCAGATTCTCAAGCAGCAATTGGCTCAGTCCTTTTCCCACTTGCTTCAAGGAAGATAACTGCCTCTTCCTACAGCTGTCCAAAAGTTTTGTGGGCAGGAGCTGACATGGTAAAGTGACTGTGCTTTCTTTCTAGTTAAGAGTGTTGGTTTGGGAGCTGGAGAGATGGCTCAGTGGTTAAGAACACTGGCTGCTCTTACAAAGGACCTGGATTTGATTCCAGGCACCCACACGGCGGCTAACAACCTTCTATACTCCAGTTCCAGAGGAATCTGACACCCTCTTCTGACCCCCTCCAGCATTGCACAACACGGGTACACTTACATGCATGTAGGCAATACACTCATAAATGAAAATAAAATAAAATATTTTTAAAGAGTATTGGTTTGATATGTTGCTCATCACAGCTAAATTTTATGACATTTTGGAAAATGAAGCTTTCTGACCATATTTCTGTAAGCAAACTTTAAGCTGTTTCTCTTGGCCTGTAATTCTCAAATGTGACCACCAGAAAAGAGACAAGGAAACGGTCTAATGGTGGGAGTGCATTTTACATCCCCCAAATTCTGAGTCCCTGTGAAAACAATGCACTTTATTTTGTACAATCAGAAATGCATGCAGTGTGATTCATACTCACTCTCACAAGCTTGGTTCTAACTAAAAACTGAGATGACCTTTGTTTTTCACATTGTGACTGGGAAGTGCAATTACAATATCATCATTTGAAGCTCATGGATTCATGAGATGCCATTTAACAGAAGGCCCAAAGAAGACAGAATAGCTAAACCACGATAACCTAGCAGGGTACATAGGTAGCTATGTAAAAACAATAGACATTCTGTGAAATACAATTGTAGAAAGGAATTTAAAATGTGTATACACTTAACTATTCTTTACTTCTAGGTGAGTATGGTTCTTGGTTACCAGGGGAAAGCTCAGGCCAAACTCCCGATTCAGAATTTAATCAACTATAGTAAGGTATCATTGCTTTGGCACTAGAAACATTCAGTGCTGTCCTACGCATTGTAGTGGGTTTAGCTGCTCCAGCCCCTTAGATGCTGGAGGCAGCCCTCTACCAACATCACCATAATCAAAAACATCTCTAGACATTGTCAATGTTCTCTAGAAGGCAAATTGCCCTTAGTTTGAGAATTGCTAAGCGATATCATGTATCGGTCTTGTTGTCTGACAGCTGGGTATGTTAGAGCCTGGATGTTCCTTCACATATAGCTCTAGATTTCATCTTGGAATCTCTCACCCTAATACAGGCAGTACTTAGTGGACACTAACATATAAAGACCTTCACCTCAGTTCCTAAAAGGAATCTGGCCAAGGCTAAGGCATTATCATATTTATGTTAGGATTGAAAGACTCACCTGAAAGCCCCTGTGTAGCCATAATATCCCTCTTTGTTGTTCTGAGCACATTTGACTGGGCCCATACACAGCTCACAGAGACTGGAATTCTTCTCATACCCAGGAGCACAGCCTTGACTGAAAAATTCATCTGGACAGAAGGACAAGAAGATGTTAGCTCTTGATGAGTCAATACTGGTGGCTTATTAACACCTGACTGGCTAGGAAATAATCCACTCTGCAACCTGCCATCCACCAACCCAGAACTGCCAGGCTACAGGTTTTGAAAGACTTATTCAGGGTGGAGGGGATCCCTTTGTGCACCATCATGGTACCATCTTCAGTCTAAAGAAAGAACAGGTGGAATTTCTGATCATGTGCAACTTGTTTTCTGAGTTCCCCTCCCCTGCCATTCTCTAGAAGAACTTCGCTACATCTCCAAGCTCAAGGAAAGGGTAGGGAATTTTCCTTGCCCTGTATCTGCTTGTCAATGGCTGTGAAAGCACTAGGAGGTTCTGGAGAGCAGAGGTCAGGAGAGCAAAGGTTGGGAGCCCAACCTTTCTGCCAGTGGCCCCAGGTGTCCCAGTGGCCCCACTTCATTATTCCTGATGGACCAAAGCATCTTGGTGCAGAAATGTGTTCTTGTCTCTAACCCCTACATATGCAGGGTTCGTAGGGCTCATAATCAGGTTTTACAAGGACTTGCCCATATTTGGAGTTTATCAGAAAGGGAGACTTCAGGAAGAAAATTTAAAGCAAAACCATGGTCAAACATTTTTTTTTGGAGTCTTCTGCCTAGAAATTTAAGGAGGTAGAAATAAACTCCAACTGGTGTTATTCAGAGATCGCAGGGAAAACTAAAGGATCCTAGGAGCTGGACAGGAACTCAGTGAGATTACCAACACCTTAAGACACCCAGGGATCACTCACATATCACAGAACCCTGTGGTGGGATCACTTGGTGTCTACACAATGCCCATTTCCTTTTGTTTCTCAGTAAGAAAAGTGTGTTTAACTTCAGGTATGAACATGCTTAAATGAAAGAGTACAGGTAGGTATGACAATGCACCTAAGTTCTGAGCAATGGAAGGTTGTCGAAAGTTGGTTAGATTCCGGAAAGTTCCCTTTATAAAGCTGACCACAGTGGGGTAAACTTCTGTTTGCTCCAACTCCTGCCTGGGTCATGGTGACTGTAAGGTGCCTTTGAACATGGACGTCCTAAGATGGGATTAGTGGGGCAGAAAGAAGGAAGACACCCTTGAGACCTTACCAGCCATGGACTGCCCACCTCTGGTCTTTTCCATGAAAGAGAAAGTAAATATATATTCACTTAAGCCATTATGTGAAATGGAGTTAAACCATCCTGACTCCATTCTGCAGTTCCCCAGCCCTCCTAACCCTTTTTGGTATTTCCTTCCACTTTTACCAAACTTCCCTTCTATGGAACCAGAGCATCCTCTCCCCACTCCCTTTCCTAGGACCCTTCCACATAGCCCTTGCCACAGCTCCTTCCCCAGATTCGCTCACCAAATCTGCAGTGGTTGATCTTGCTGTAGAGCAGGCCCATGGGGATGTTCCAGCCAGCAGTTCTGTCTACTGCAGTATGGCAGGACTTCTTTCCTTTCAGGTTGTTCCAGTTGATGTCGGGATTTGATTTCTTCACCACTGCCACCGCATAATATCCTACAAGAAAGATGCCAGAAAAGGAGTATTAGTACCTCTGGGACCTCCAGAGTATCTGCTTCAAATCAAAGCCTCTCCCTAGGCCAGCAAGTGTGTCCTAACTAGTCATTGTGTCATGAAAGGCACTCTACAACATCTGACTGTGGTGAAGAACAAGGTGCTCTATCAAGAAGACATTTAGCTGAACTTCAAAAACAAAATACTAAGATCACATGGTACCCCATAATTATGTACAATTTTTATGTAGCAATTTAAAAATACCAGGCTGGGGAGATAACTTAGTTGGTAAAGTGCTTGCTATGTAAGCATGATAACTTGAGTTCTATCCTCAGAACTCATGTAAAAGAAAAAAAAGCCAGGTATGATGGAGTGTGTGTGGCATGTGTTTATAATCCCAGCACTGGGGAGATGGTGACAGACAGACACACTTGGGGTTCCCTGGCCAGCCAGCTTAGCCTACTAAGCAAACTCCAGGCCAATGGAAAGGTCATGTCTCAAAAAACAAGGTGGAAAGCTGGGTGTAGTACTTTAATCCCAGTACTTGAGCGACAGAGGCAGACAGATGTCTGTGAAATCAAAGCCAGCCTGGTCTACATAGTGAGCTCCAGGCCATCTGGGGCTACAGCGAGACCCTGTCTCAAAAAACCAAAACCAAAACAAAACAACCAAAAAAGTGGATGGCTCCTGAGAAATGCCACCTAAGGTTGACTTCTGGCCTCTTCACACACATGCACATGTACCCACATACATACATGCACACACACAAAAATAATTAGAAAAAATACTAATACATTATCTTTAGGGAAATGACTCTATGCAACCCTTACTTGCATGTATAAAGTTATTGAAGTTAAAACCAACAATTCGCTTCCAAAGTATTATGTCAGAGAAATGGCTACAGAATAGCCAGTGTGACTGGTATTTAATAAATGAACATACATTGGGGCTAATCAGACCAGGCATTTCCTGATAAGGAGAATATAGTTCTATAGCAGAGTAAACACGCAAAATGGAAAATATTAAGAGCCAGTCAGTTTCCATTGTCAGCAGCAAACACATGTAGGTCTTTTAATGGAGACTGGAACATCAACCTGTAATTCACTTTTCCATTTTAACTAATTCAGAATAGTCTTTCCAACAGAAAACAATCCTTCATGGAATAAGAATGGCTCTTCCTAGATCTGCCAAAGAGCCTGGCTCCGTGAGTGATAGAGAAAGGCTGGGAGGTTGTGTTCAGCTGCAGGGACAAGGGCAGACTCCGCACACTGATGGTTTTCTGAAATACAGCCAGCAAAAGGCTAAGCCCAGGAGCTCAGTGCTCACCTTGGTGTTAAGACTTAATGACCTGCTTTTGTGCCATATTTTCAGATCTGCTCCTAGTCAGGGCCTTGGTGAAAGCCAGGTGGGCTTGGGTTCCTGGGCCCACTAGCTGGGAGGTCAGGCAATTTCATGCTCCTAGACAAGGGCCCTTTTCAGACTTTCTACTCAGCCCTGTAAGACACACATGAGCAAGGTTCCTTGACCAGTACTAACTCTCCTCTACAACTCTGCAGGCCTCATAATCCAAAGTGGTGGGAAGCAACAGGAAGGGCCTGAATTTGTTTCCCAAATGTGTGATCCTAGACAATTCATCAATTCTGAGCCCTTGCATCCCTTTATGCATCCTTCCAGGAAGACAATACCTACATTATAAGATGACGTTAAGAAAGCCTATGTAGAAGTCACGGCAGGTATAAAGACACAGCCTTCAATACCAATTAATACCCTTTCATGATGCTTTTGCATTCTAAAATTGAATCTCTTCCATTGTCTTATCTACTTGTAATTTGAATTTTAAGCTTACCTAACCACTTCTCCCAATCAATAAGAATTTACCTTTCAATGCCCAAGGTTAACAGTTTCAACTTACCTTCCTCTGCTGGTTTATCGCAATCAGAGCTTTCTGAAGAAAAGAAAATGAAGAAAGCATTAAATATGTGTGTGTAGACTGGAAAATCATGACTCTCCTCATGAAGCAACTAAGAATAAAAAGAATCAGATGAAACTACACATGCCATTGATGGCCAACAAGGCCAGACTCTCTGAAGTTCTAGATACAAGTTCATCCAGCTGCTGCCACTAGGAATGACACTCACACTGTGAATCTCAAGTGACTTGCTTGGTGTGCACCAACCCCACTGTGGGGTGCTGACTGAATATATTTAAATCCCTGCAACAAGGAATCAGGAAAAACATGAGTTCTGGAAATTTCAAGGTTTGCCAGAAATCCCAGCTGTCCTCTGCAACAGGATTCCCTTTTGCACTGTTCCAGGAACTTCACAGCATAGAGACAGAGGGTACTATAACTCTCATCCTATAAGAGAACTGGGGAGAGTCTACATGAGGGAGTCCCAGAGCCTGGGAAGGAGCTCGATAAGTGAGAGTTTCATGGCAGCAGTGGGATAAATTGGGCTATGATTTCTCCATCTCCTGTCTCCATGGCCCAGAAGGAAGAAGGCACAGAGACATTCTTTGACATTTACCATAGTTCTCTGCCAGGACAGGCACCAGACCACAATGGCCTGCTATGTAGACATGTCCTCCATCCAAGCTCATGGCATCAGCTTCTCCATTCTGCAAAGATACAGCAAGTCATAGCCAGTGGAGAGATGCTATTTCCTATCCCAACTTCTAGCCGTTTCCTTGAATGATCTTTCCCAGCACAAATTATGAAGCCAGGGCAGCAGAACTTGTTGACACAGCAACACCGCCCCCGCCCCGCCCCCCCCCACCAAAGATCAGTCAGGCACACCCAACTAGAAAATAAAACATGCTCATGTTCATCCATCCATCATGAATCAGAGCCCACTCTAGGTGCCTGGAAAAGCGTACTCAAGAACAAAGACTCAAATTCAGTCTCTCATCTTCTAAGACAGATATTTTTATAATTCCTTTTTTTAACACAAGAGTTTTCAAGCCAGAAGCTATGTCTAGCAATGGTGTACTCTTGGCGGGGCCCTTGCTCCCCCTCCTAGCCTCCTAAGCTAGTTTTATTTTAGTTCTTGGACTACATACTGAGTTCTAGGGCAGCCTGACCTAAAGTGAGACCCTGTCTCATAAAACCAAAAACCCAAACAAAACAAAAACTTTAAATGCTTCCTAATAGAAAGTGGTTAAATAAATGGAAAAGAGTTATCGACCTTTAAATATCACGGATTTCTTTTTCTCATTTTGAAAATGATTTCTTTTATGCTAATTTTTATGGATGTGTGTGTCTGTGTGAATAAATGCTACATGTTTATGGGTGTCCCTGGTGGTCAGAAAAGGGCTTCAGATACTCTGGAGCTAGAGTTACAGGGAGTTGTGAGCCATCTAATATGTGTGCTGGAAATTGAACTGGGGTCCTCTACAAGAGCAGCAAGTGCTCCTAACCACTGAACCATCTTTCCAGCCCAGATTTCTTTTTCTTTAAAGTTGTAAGTATGGGGCTGGGCATGGTGGTGCATGCCTTTATCCTAGCACTTTAATCCCAGCACTTGGAAGGCAGGGACAGGTGGGTCTCTATGAGTTCCAAGCCAGCCTGGTCTACATAGTGAGTTCCAGGTCAGCCAGGGCTACATAGTGAGAC